AACACAGACTCTAGCCTGCCCCCTATTCAAATGACTGTTCAATCCCTCAAAAAATACTGACAGAGCAAAGACAGGCCAGGAACTGTTGTGGGTGTTGGTGATATGGTGCAAACAGGACAGACAGGGCTTTTGACCTCACATGGCTTATATTCTAGAGGGAAACAGGCATAAATATATAGTATCAGGTACAAATAAATGAAAAGAACATAACGCAGGGTGAGAGACATGTAATCATTTTAGTCTAACCCTATTATTTATTAGGTTTAACCACATGAAACTGCTGATATTCAACCATTTCTGACCTACAGAATGGGCAATTTCATAAGTTTCATTCCGTCAGGAAACAACCAAGAATGCTTCTGATGGACGGGAAATTATAATGCATCCCTGAAAGGCAAGAAGGCACAGTGGCCTGGACTGGACAAATATCTCTCCCATAGCAGAGGCTCTAGGAAAAGGCTGTGAATGCAGAAAGCTCAGAGACAACTTATGGGAGAAGCAGCGTGGATGGAGGCGGTGGGCAGGGTGACTGGATGGGGGATCCTGGAAGGAGCCCCAGATGATTTAACTCTGCACCACACCCTCATCTCCATCCAGCCCTGGGGACTCTGTCTTCATCCAGAGCATTCTGAGAGGCAAATATTTCTACCAGGAATGGGGGAAGGGGTGGGCCCTAGTATAGTAGCCCCCAACCTTTTTAGCACCAGGGACCAATTTTACGGAAGACAATTTTTCCACAGAGAGGGATAGGGGGATGGTTTCAGGATAAAACTCTTCCACCTCAGGGCATCAGGCATTAGATTTTCATAAGGAGTACAACACTTAGATCCCTTGTACACAAAGTTCACAACAGGGTTCCTTCTCTAAGGCTGCTGCTGATCTGACAGGACGGGGAGCTCAGGCAGTCAAGCTCACTCTTGCCCTGTAGCTCACCTTCTGCCGTGCATCCCGGTTTCTAACAAGCCACAGGGATTGGAGACCCCTAACCTAGAGACCACCACTTTCCCCTGTGAATTCAACTACTTCTAAACTCAGAAAAGGCCCAAGAACTTGGTAGTCTATTATTGTTGTCGTTTTTTCTTTTTTGGGGCGGTGGGTGGCGTAAAGGAACAATATATATTACCTGTGCAATTAAAAAAAAAAAAAAACCCTAGCACCTCTGGCACCTGATTGATCGTATTATGAAGAGACAACTGGACACATCACATGCCTCCTGACAGGATGCAGAAAGAAAGATCCTTACCAAGAATTCAAACCTGGTTATGATCAGGCCACCAGAGCTAAATCTAGTTTACAGCAAACACAGGGGACAAGAGAAGTCACTAAATGACACTTAAGGATACTATTAGTAAAATCCAGAATGTGGATGAGCACTAAAAGACAAAAAGGAATAGGAAAAAAGAAGGTGGAATCCTCCAGACTAGAAGGCTTATTAAACCCACATGTGTAATGAATGGACCCTTATTTGAATAAATCAACCATTTAAAAAAAGTTCATGAGACAATAGAGTGGAGAGAACTTCCTAGATATCTAATGGTAAGAAAATATTAATTTAGGCTCTTAAAAAAAAAGTCCTTTTGAAGCTAGAATTAGGAACTTAAAGAATCCCTGATTATTATTATTCTTTTGTGTATATGTTTAAAAACTCCCATAATATAAAGAGACAGTCTACAGACTGAAAAAAATGTTTACAAACCATACCTCCAATAAGGGGTTAATATCCAAAATGCATAAGGAACCTAACTGAAAGAAAGTTCCGAAAACACAACCTGATTAAAAACAGGCAAAGGATTTGAATAGACATTTCTTGAAAGAAGACATACAAAAGGACAACAGCTGTATGAAAAATGTTCAACATCACTAATCATCGGGAAAATGCAAATAAAAACCAAAATAAGATATCACCTACACCTGTTTGAATGGCCTTTTTCCTCTATCGCCCAGGCTGGTGTGCAGTGGTGCATTCATGAATCACCCCACCCTTGACCTCCCATGTTCAAGTGATACTCCAACTTCAGTCTCTTAAGTAGCTGGGACTACAGGTATATACCAACATACCTGGCTAATTTTTTTTTTTTCTTTTTTTTTGAGGCAAGGTCCGGCTATGTTGCCCAAGCTAGTCTCAAACTCCTGGGCTCAAGCAATCCTCTTGCTTCAACCTCTCGAAGTACTAGGATTATAGGCACGGACCACTGTGGCAGGCCACAATGACTATTATCAAAATGACAAAACATAACAAGTGTTGATGAGGATGTGAAAGAAACAGGAACTTTGTATACTCTTGGTAGGAATATAAATTAATATAGCCATTACTAAAATTCCTCAAAAAACTAAAAATATCAACTACCACATGATCCAACAATCCCATCTCAGGGTGTATAAGGAAATGAAATTTTTTTTTCTTGAGACGGAGTCTTGCTCTTTCACCAGGCTGGAGTGCAGTGGCGCAATCTTGGCTCACTGCAACCTTCGCCTCCCAGGTTCAAGCGATTCTTCCACCTCAGCCTCCCGAGTAGCTGGGACCACAGGCACGCACCACCACACCCGGCTAATTTTTTTGTATTTTTAGTAGAGACGGGGTTTCACTGTGTTGGCCAGGATGGTCTCGATCTCTTGACCTCATGATCTGCCCCGCCCTGGCTTCCCAAAGTGCTGGGATTACAGGCGTTAGCCACCGTGCCCGGCCAGAAAACGAAATTTTATGTCAAGAATGATACCAGCACTTCTATGCTCCCTGCAGCATTATTCACAATAGCCAAGAAGTGGAAGCAACATAAATGTCCATCAACAGAAGAATGGATAAAGAAAATGTGCTATATATACACGACAGAATATCATTTAGCCTTAAAAGAGAAAGCAATTCTGTCAATTGCCACAACATGGGTGAACCTGGAGGATATTATGTTAAGTGAAATAAGCCAGCCACAGAAAGACAAATAATGCATGATCTCACCCATATGTGGAATCTAAATAAGTCCAATGCATAGAAGCAAAGCGTAGAAAGGTTACCAGGGGCTGGGGTTCAGGAAGATGTTGATCAAAGGACAAAATTTCAGTTAGACAGGAGTAATAAGTTTTTGAGATTATACTGCATGGTGATTATAGCTAATGCCATGTATTATGTATTTCAAAATTGTTAAAGTAAAAATCAAAGGTTCTCCAAAGATAATATGTGAGGTTATGTTAATTAGCTTTGCTAATCATTGTACAATGTATACATATATCAAAATATAATGATGTACCTCATGTATACATTTATCATTTGTCAATTAAAATTAAAAAACAAACACGATGAAAAGCTTAAAGCAGGCGGGGCGTGGTGGTTCACACCTGTAATCCCAGCACTTTGCACTGTGGGAGGCCAAAACGGGTGGATCTCCTGAGGTCAGGAGTTCGAGACCAGCCTGACCAATATAGTAAAACCCTTGTCTCTACTAAAAATACAAAAATTCACTGGGCTTCGTGGCGTGTGCCTGTAGTCCCAGCTACAGAAGGCTGAGACAGAAGAATTGCTTGAACCCAGGAGGTAGAGGTTGCAGTGAGCCGAGATCGTGCCACTGCATTCTAGCCTGGGCAACAGAGTGAGACTCCATCTCAAACAAGTAAACAAACAGAAACTCCGAGCAGGTCTGCAGCCCTGCCCTCCCAGTTTCCCTGCCGGTTCCCACACAGTAACCATTTGAGCTGGAAATGACCAGCTACAACAGCCTAAATAAAGCATTTTGTATGACTGCTTACCTGTCAATGAACTGATCAATAATGACAATATCGCCGGGCTGAATCTCCTCCCTCAAGGAGCCACAAGCTGTGGTTACTATGACATGTGTACAGCCCTCTTCCTTCAAAGCCCAGATGTTTGCCTGGTAGTTGACCTTTGAAGGCATGATGGTGTGCTGCCTCCCATGTCTAAGGAAGGAGAGAAAAAAATCATCAACCTGTGATGAGCACACCACCACCTGTTTTCTCCTAGAGTCTAGAAAAAAAGTGATTCTTTAGCAATGACCACAGACTAACACAGGGGGTCTCCTAGAACCCACTCCAGTGACCAACTAAAACTAACATTTAGGTTCACTGGATTCTGAAAAGACACTTCTGTCTCAAAAACGTAGAGTGGCAGATAGGCCGTAGTGCGGTCCCCACTGTGATGCGTCGTATAAAGTGTTGGTGAACCTGAGACTTGCATCTAGCCATTAGAAAATGGTGAACATGCTGTAAGTCACCTCCATGCTTAGGATCTACCTTACAGGCATGCACGAGAGATTCTCCTGCAGGCCTTCTGCATGCTTTCAAGGTACAGCCTAAACATGAAGGTGACTTCTAGCACCTCCACCATATCCTAATGGCAAGAAGCAAGCTGCTGTCAAATGAATGGCCTGTGGAGCAGGCCACACGGCAGGGAACGTGAACCACCTCTAGAAGCCAAAGGCCTCCACCCAGCAATGTGCAGGAACTGAATTCTCCTATAACCACATGAGCTTAAACAAGGACCTCAAGCTGCAGATGAAGACCCAATCCTTGAATATGCCTTGCAGGGCCTTGTGCAATGCCAAGCAGACAACCTGAGCTGTGCCAGACTCTTGACCAACAGGAACTGGGAGACGACGTGTGCTCTTTTAAGCTGCTAAATTTGTGGTAATTTGTTATATAACGGTAGAGAACTCGTACATATAACTTGAATAATATCTAACTATGTGATAAAAATGACTTTGCCTCCTCTGATAAAGAGCAGCACCAGCCTCCTTACGGAAACAACAATGTAGACACAAGTAACCCACTTCAGGAGCCCTAAGCCCACTCCCCACAGACATATAACTTCTACTATCAAGAGGTCATTAATGATGCACTGTTTTTCTTTAGCTTGATATGAAGGGGGGGAAAATGAACAAAACATTTCGTCTTGCAGTTAGAACTCAAACTGCAGCTTTGATCTTAGTCGTCTCATCTACTTTCCCAATCTAAGGTGCAAGGGCATGAGATCTTTGATCTCCTAAGTCAATATAACTCAACCCAAAATAATACACTGTAAATAAAGGTTGCTAAGATGTTCTGATTTTGCCAACATATAAAAACTCACATTTGCATCTTTACTCTTTCCAGAATTTAAGTTAAATTTAAATTATCTTTTAGTAGTAACATCCAAAAAGCTTAAAATGACCATACCTTGCAAGGAGGACGCAATCAACATTTTTTATCTTCCCCAAAATTAAGGCATCAGACGGCTGCATGAAATGGAAAATGATAATTAACTCAGTGATTTAAAAACAGGTATGTAAATTAAAATTGTTCAACCGCAATAGGGCTCATGGAATCTGAAGAGTCTGAGGATACAACTTAGAGAAGGGGCAAGATCTGATTATCAATATAATCATTTAATCAATTACTTACTGATCCCTCTGCACGCACCGATTCACAGAAGGTTACCATGGCTGTCTGCGTAGGTACCATTTAGTCAGATCTATTTGTAATGAGTACCCCAGGGGACTCTGACGGTAGACTGGTCAAATTTAGATACGTCAAAGTTATTGGGCAGGTTCAAGAACAGGTGTGAGGGTGAAAGGCAGAAAGGGTAAGAAGCCACTGTCATGACATTAAGAACTCAGCACTGGAAATGTCTGCTTGTGTTAACCAGGTCTAAGAAAGTTATGGAATGACTTGAGGTAAGGAAGGCTAGAAAGACCTTTACAACCAAGGGGTTTATGACAATGAACCAAGATGACAGCAGGACTGCGAGGACACAAGGTCAATGTAAGAATTTAGCTGAAAAGGAGGGTTTGATTGGGACATCCAGATATAGAGATCTTACAGAAGGATCAGAGGATGCAGCAATATGGAATTAGGAGAATGCAGACACCCTCTCCCTGGCCCAGGCTGAGTGACATGGGCTGGGAGAAGCAGCAATCTCTCCTACAAAAGGAAGAGTGTTTTATTTTTAGCTCAGTTATGCATTCAACTAACATCAGGTATGTTCTCATTCCCCAGGACAATTCTCCCCACTCAGAAAATACTACTTGGTCATAATAATTCATCCTATTAGTCATCAACCTGTCCCCTAAATTAGTGTGGTGTGACCTATTGGCCCCATAATAGAAGGTGATTTGAATGCAGATTTGAAAAGTGCAGTTGCTGTGTCTGAAATGAGCATCAGACTTCTAGCAACAGATTTTGAGAAGTGATTTACATATTCAGTACCCATCTTCTCAAAACATCAAAGTCTGGGGCATCCGTCAGACACCTTCTCAGCTAAAGGAACCTAACGGCAGAACTTCTGGCCCTCTCTGATGGGAGCAGACAACGCTGGGCCACCAAAACAGAAGCAATTTTTTTTCTTTAAAAATCAAGCCAGCAAGGAGAAAGGAAAAAGCTAACACGTCTCCTCCAGTTGGATATTAACCTTGCCAAATGGAGTATCCACATATTTTTCAGTTCTTCCTTCTAAAATTTCTGGATCATCCAGGCCTGTTCCACCAATTATTCCAATCTAAGAGAGAAAAAGAGATTATTATTTTATTTGGTAATTTTTTATTAGAAAAAAAATTTTAAGCAAACTCATTTATTCATATGTTCTTCTCCATTCCTGCCAAGCCCTAGTTACATTTTTAAAATCTGAAAATTACTGAACAATCAACAAATATTTGAAAGTCTTCTATAAAAATCAACAAATATTTGAAGGCCTTCTATATTCTAAAAAGAGCCAAAAGGCCACCTTTTTGGACTATATCACATTTACTTCTGACTGAATTACCAGTCAGCACAGAGAGGTACTTTAACCAACTCGGGTTAGAAAATCAAACCTAAAAGTAGTCAAATATGGTAATGGAAAGTACTTTTTGATCAATTTTATTTCTCTGCCAAATGGACTATGGAGTAAAGAATGTTCAGAAGACTGCTGAACATGTGGTAATGATTTCTCCTCACTATTCTATTTGATAAAGAAATGAGAGGTTATCTTTCCTACGCCATTAGAATCACAAAACTAGGAGAGAATGCAGACAGAGGAGACTGAAATGGCATGAAAAGTTATCCTCATGTATATTCATGAAATCAATCATTCATATATATGCAAATTCATATTTATATACTGTAACTACATATACAGCATTTTCAGATTATCTTGAAAATCTTTGTCTGAGTTAAAGAAACCTAGCATTACCCTCTGAGAGTTGATCTAATTTGATGATTAAAAAATAGAAACAGCAACAATTACAAAAATAATTATTAACTAAACGGTTAAAACTAAAAATTAAGTAACAAATCATTATTATAATTTCCTTGGGCTGGTACTTCCTAAAGGAGAAAGTAAACAGTGCAAAGCTAAAGAAATGACACTCTACTAGAAACCTAATTAATGCAAAGTCACCTGAGCATTATTATTCTTCAATGAAAAGCTTTAAATCTATTGTTACTTGAGTAACTAAATAAAGTAGGCTTCAAGAAAAAATTCCACAGTTAAGAATTCAGTGAACATATGAATTAAATAATTTTCAGGTCAGGTTACACAAGTTGAGGTCTATCAACACATAAAAAAATGGTTGCGTTTCTGACTCAGTTTCCTGAAAACAAACAAACAAGAAAATAAGGGCAATTTAGTGAGGTTTTTACTGAAGAACTCTGCCTGTTACCCACGACATGATTACGTAACTTGGGACTGACCCCCATGAATTCCTTAAGTGGCAAAGCCAGGTTTTGATACTGGCGCCATCTTGTGGACGTAATTATTAAAACCACAGCAGGTTAACATATTTTATGTCACCGAACTTAACATTATTGTTAAAAGGTAACCAGTATTATAGTTTTCAAATCAACGTTAAGTGTTCACTTAAGTCAATACATTTAAATAATTCCAGTTCAACAGAAAAGAACAAAAATTCATACGGTTTTAGGAAATCCCAATCCTTCCTGAGCCTGGCTTCTCCATCTTATCCTTCATTCTATGGACCTCCAAAGCACCACAGGTCATGGGAAGGCTAAGAAACCATCAAGCCTATGTCCTCACCTGGGACACAGATATGAACTGCTGATGCTGAAATTACTCTCAGCCGACTCTCTGGGGATTCAGCTACTAGCTTTTTAACTTATCACCATGTTGACTTGGCTCTTTCTGGGTGTTCCCTGAGCCATGCCATCTCAGATTCTGGATTCAACACTGGATGCTCAGGCTCAAATACACAAATCAAGCTGGGCTTTGTTTGGAGCCACCCTCTCAGTTTAGGTGAACTTTCCCAGCATCGTAGCAGTTGTTGAGAAATGCTAACCAGGTTTCCCGCTGAAATCCCTGAGCTCACTCTCAGCAGCCCCAAGCTTCAGTCTGCACCACCTGGCTGCATGATGTCTGCACTAGGTAGCTGGCAACTCAGCCCTCAGCAAGGAACATGTAGTAGCCCTGGACATGAAAGCAAGAGTGGCTACTGTTCTGGAGTAATCTGCAGGCAAGTCTATCCAGTCACTTAACTAGCTCCAGTTGTTTATGGAAACCCACATTGTGCAAGGGATATGGGGACAAGTGCAGCAACGGAGTCCGGCCATCCCAGGGAACTGGGCCTCTAAGATGGAGGTCAGCAGGGCCAAGATGTGGCCAATGTCGCCACCTGCTGGTCCCACAGCAAAGTACAACTGGGATGAAGTATCCAAGCACTGATGGCCCAATTCTGTCATACTCCCTTGAGTCTCTAAGTTTGAGTCAAGTCAGTACCTGCCTTAGTAACAAAGTAACTGTGTCTGAGCACTGACACGTTACAGGCACTGTGCTAAGTGCTTCAGCAGCCTTATTTCATCATCACAACCATAAATTGGGCCCTATAAAATGTTACCCGTTTTACAAATGAGGAAAGAGAAACACAAAAATGAAAAATCTCGCCCAAAGGCAAATCATAAGGAGCAAACCTGGGATAGAAATCTAGGTCTTTCAGACCTAACCACTATGATGTGCCATCTCCCAGTATACCCTGGAGTCCTTCATAACATCACACCCTATTGGAAAAGATTTTTGTCTCCATGTTATGAGACAACATGGTCAGAGAGGTCAAGTTCATGATCAAGGTCACAGAACAAGCACAGAAACAGTGACTCCGGGTATATAAGTGAATCATCTCAGAAGGAAGGACGACTCTCAATGATCTCATCCATCCTTAGGAAACAATGACAAGACCTTGCCAGCCCTCCTAGCCCAGGAGCATCAGTCCTCAGTCCAGTTAACTCTAGACTGTGTAGGAAATGTGTTCAAGACCTGAGATGGTATGTCTGCCCAGCCAGGACTTCTTACTACACAAGACAGAGTTCTGAAATAGGGAGTAAATCAAGGCCCTTGACAGATTTTAAAAGTTAGTGGCTCATGCCACACTTTTCCATTGGCTAACCACCAAATCAAACTTCTCAAAACTAGAGCTTCTGCAGTAATAATAAAGCTATGACATCTGCTTCAGAAACCTAAAGCTGCCCACGCCTACGTAAATTACAGTGACCTGAACTACCTGGCGTCTGCAACCGTGACGGGGGTCACCATCTGCCTGTGCTTCCCTGGCCAACTCAATGCCGATTTACAGAAGCTGGCTGTGAACATGGTCCCATTTCCCCACCTGCACTTCATGTCTGGCTTTGCCTTGCTGACCAGCCAGGACAGCTAGCAGTACTGGACCCTGATGGTACCTGAGCCTACCCGGCAGATGTTTGAGGCCAAGAACATGATGGCTGCCTGCAACCTCTGCCGTGGCTGCTACCTAACAGCAGCTGCCATGTTCAGGGACCACATGTCCATGAAGGAGGTGGACAGGCAAATGCTTAATGCCCAAAACATGAACAGCAGCTATTTCTTCAGTGTGGAAAGTCACAGATAGCTGTTTTACATTGTTGGTTGGATCCCCCACAATGTAAAAACAGCTGTCTATGGCTTCCCACACTGAGGGCTAAAGATGTCTGCCACCTTCACTGGCAACTACACAGCTATGTAGATCGATCAAGTACATCTCAGAGCAGTTCACAGGCATGTTCTGGTGCAAGGCTTTTCTGTGCTGGTACATGGGCATAGGCATGGATGAGATGGCATTCACCGAGGCTGAGAGCAACATGAACGACCTGGTATCTGTGTACCAGCAGTACCAGGAGGCCACGGCTAAGGAGAAGAAAGAGTTTGAGGAATGAGCCAAGGAGGAGGTGGCCTAGAGCCTTCTGTTACTGTGTAAAGGGTGGAAGTGGTGTGAGCTCTCTATTCATGCACAGTCTGTTCTCTGACAGCCATGTCTTACTGTATGTGCACTTGCTGTTCTTTGTGTCTTGATATCACATGTTCTAAACACATCCCAATAAAAGCATTTTCATGGTGGAAAAAAAATTGTTCAAGAGCAAATCAATCCAAGGGTCTGACTTCTCTGAGACTGTGAAAGTATTTATCCAAATACCAGCTCATCTGATCAGAATGGTTACTTCTAGCAATGTAGAAAGGGTGCATACTAGCCCCTACTCCATCTATTTCCGCTAGTACCTGGCTGCAAGAGATTTTACTAACCCTTCTTAGTCTCAGAAACCATTCATCATCACTTTGAGGTCTGGCACACTGCTGTAAGGAACCCAGCACTCTATAATGGCATTCTGAAAACACCATGACCCCAAGCAGTGGAGACCAGCTCATGCCAGGGAGACAGGCTGCCTCTGAATGCTGCAAGTTCATGATGAGGTATGCGAGCCAGAGCTGGAGCTGGCACAGCCCGATCTGAGCATTGCAGTCTTTTAGCTCCAGTTGCCATAACAATTTTGGCAAGCACAGCAGACAGAAGCCCTCAATATTGGGCTGATGTGGCTTTGAGGCCTGTAAGGGCCTTGCAAAATCCCAGAAGCCTAGCTGTATGGGAGACAGCAGTCAACTGTCTCAGGCTGGGAGGACTGTTAAAAACCTGCAATAGGGTCCACAGGGATAGCTGGGGGCTCTATGTCTGATAAGACACCCCCTTCTGTAAGCCATCCTTGTACGTAACGGTTATGGGTGGAACTGTGTCTCCCCTAAGTTCATAAGTTGAAGTTTCAACTCTCAGTACCTCAGAATGTGACTGTATTTGCAGTCAGTTTTTAAAGAGGTAATTAAGATCAAATGAGGTCACTGGGATGGGTCATAATACAGCATAGCTCATGCTATGGTATGAAAGTGTTCACCTTCGAAACTCATGTTGAGGCTTGGACCCCAAATGTAGTGATGCTGGGAGGTAGTACCTTTAAGAGGAGTTTGAGCCATGAGTCCCGGTAATGATCTACCCCCACATTAGGGGATTAATGCAGTCCCAGGAGAGGGTGTTCTTGCTCTCAATGGGTTGGATTAATTCCAGTAAGTGGGTTGTTATAAAGCAAAGTTTGTCTCTCTTTTTTGTGTGTTTTCTTTTCGTATCTCCCTGCTTCCCCTTTCATTTCTTTTAAATGAACCTCTTTTCTTAATAAATTACCCTGTCTCAGGTATTTTGTTATAGCAACAGAAAACAGACTAAGAAAACTGTTGTC